GGGACATGGGGTGGCGGTGGCAGGGCCAGCAGCTGCCTCTGCTTGAGCTGTCTGGGCTGGGGATACCCCTCACAGGGACTGCAGACACACCGCCCTGGCCAGAATAATCCCACTGATCTCAAAGCACCACCCGTGAGGCTATTTCTAGGAGGCCAGAAACCAAAACAACAACTGCCTGGACCTGAAAGGCACACCTCGGGTTTCGTTTCCTCCAGCCTTGACCCCCCTCCTTGTGTGCACAGTTGCCCAGTTGATTTTCCTTTTCCCGGTGCAAGGAGCTCACACCAAACCCATCCAGCTCAGGTCACACTTGCCACCGGGGCCACCGAGGTTTTTTTGGCTTGCATGGGATGAAATCACAGCCCACGGGATGAAATCACAGCCCCTACATTAACTGACGTGGAGGTTTGTTTGCTTTATATTTTGCGGTCGGGTGTTTTATAGTCCAGGGATATCTGCAAATCCCAAAGTACAATAACAAAAAAAAAGAATCGTATCTTTCATAAATACACGGGGCAGGGATGGGCACGCTCCCAAGCGCGTGCAGAGAACAGAACATTTCAGGCATTGTTTCCCTGCACTTGGAGCCTGTCTTTATTTAATGAAGTTAGACAGCTAGTCGGGATTTGCAGGATCTCCATATAGGATTATTTTATTATGATTACTCTTTTTATTACGGGCCGTATTCTGAGGCGGAATATGATTATCATTCCCTCCCGGCTATAAATTATTCAACATCCAATCCTTCCCCTTTCCCAGTTTATGTAGCTGTGGGTCTCATCAGAGGAACAACAGAGAAACAAGTCAAAGAGCAAAACACCGACCAGCACCTCCTTAATCCAGCTGCTCTGCTGCCTGAGCACCGGGGTCTGGGCTAGTTGGTGACCTCGGTATTGTTCTAGTGTGAATTTTCTGATTTATACTGTTCCTTCCTGCCAGAGTTTAACCCCAATGTTGGTGTGGATACAGGTCCTTTGGGAATAAAGGCTGGGACCTTTCTCCAGGTGACCTGGCCGAGCTTGTCCCTGCTTTGGGTTATATTTCCAAGAAAGGGTTCCCAATCCCTTAATGATACCCCTTGAATTTCTGGGGGAGTGGTACAGGTCCTCTGCAAAACTGGAGGGAAGCTTCAGCGTTGTCCAAGCAGCCTGAGGGGGGTCAGGGCTGCAGCAAACAGAAAGGGGTCGAGACCGCTCTGCTCCCAAAACGCATGCCCCTAATGTGCAGCACCTTCTGCATAGCACCGAGCATCACCGAAAGGCAAGACCCTCACGGTCCCAAAACTGAGCTATTCTGGTCCAAAGCCCTGCAGAAGGCTGGTGGCTTATTGTTATCCTCATTATCATTATTATTATTCAGAATATCTCCTCCAGTATCAACTGGGTTGGGGGCTGCCAGGCTGAGACTGGCAAGAGAAGGAGATAAAGGGAAAACAGAAGGAGTCAGCAGAGCAAACCACGGCTGAGAGCGGGACAGGAGGAGGTTTTTCTGGCAGCGCCATTCAGGTAAAATCATAGTGCCTATGTCTTGACTTCTCCCATGCTCTGCTGATGTCAGACCCTACTTTTCAAGATCCTTTTGCACCCATCTTCTTTTCGAGCCTGTGTTTGCCGGGCTGTCTGGCTCAGGCCACTCTTGCTTCCCTGGCCCTTGGACCAAATAGCAGAATTAACCCAAATTTACCCCCTCACCCTGCCAGATTTCAGGCACAAAGCGCTCCATCGACAAGTGGAATTCCCCTCGCTATTTGGGCAAGTGCTAATCGTGATATTCCCAGGGAAATGCTGGGGGAGGACTTCTCTGGACTGCCAGGGGAGCTGGAGGAGAGCAGAGCTTCTCCTAGCACTTTACCCCACATGAAATGCAGCCGTCCACCCCCTCAGCCGCCCCTCGAAAGCTCAGGGCAGGGATGCTCATCTCGCTATGGATTTTACGTGGCCGCGGGCTCACGAGGGGGCCACGACTTCTACACAGACACTTTTAACTCAGAGAGGACTCACTCACACAGCATTTTTCCCTGTTTTGGCATTCCCACCCCAGTTCACAGTTAATGCGGGGACACACAGACCGTGTGCTGCCGAGAAGTGATTCAGCTGCCAGCATCCTGTCCCATGATGTACCGGTGACACAGGCAATCAAAGAAACCATTTCCCATCCCTACTTCGGCACTCTTGCTTCAAAAAGTGCCTTTGCTATCATCTTTGCTGGCTGACAAAAGGAATTACAGGAGTGACAGCTCCAGATTTAGGACACATCATGCTCCTCCCGCTCCGGGCATCACCAACTCTCAGACTTGAAGCCACCAAGCCTCGAAAAGCCCAGCAAATTAGGGCCGCGGCTCTCAAGATTCAAATCTGCCAGCCCCAGACTGATGAACTGTGCCCTGAAGCTCGGAGCGGTCGGCTGCCTCAGCCTGCGGGAATCCTCTGGCCTCAAACGCCCATGAGAGAGCTTTGCTTCGCTCTGCCGGGGGGAGCAAGAGAGCGGGTACCACTTTTTTGGCTTAGCCCGAGGCTGCCACGGAGCCGGTCTCTAAAGGCAGTCCTTGAATCCCCATCCTTCTGCAGCTGCCCTCCTTGATTTTTCACTTGTTGCTCTTAGGAGAGAGGCACTTGGTGACTTCTATTGATGGCAGCACATAAACCACGCTCAGCCCTGCTAGCTCAGCATCAAATATGTATACGACGCTTCTAATCATATAGCAATTAAGGTATCACCGTGCTGAAACACGCAGTCAATACCACGCAGTGCGTTTAAGTTCATGTAAAAATCAAGTTAGTTTGGGAAAGAAACAACACCAGCAAAAAAAATATCAGGCTTTAGGCACCCTGCAAGTGGCTGTGTGCCTTGCAAGTCGCTGGGCAGTGGGATGACATGGGGCTGACCTTCTTGTTCTACCAAAGTGCCCACCAGGAGGGACACGCAACATCTCCGCAGCCCCCGAATTGTCAGGCCGACTTTTCAACGCTTCTGGCAACTCCTTCGGATGCCAGTTGTGGGTTTGAAAAGTGAGAGAAGTGTCTGAAGCATGCGTTTCAGCCTGGGCCGAATTAAACCCAACGGGGTTTCCAGCGGCAGGACCCTAAATAGGTACAGGAGGGGATGAGGTTTTCGGAAACGCAACAGAGCAAACACTCCGGTGTACTCCTCACCTTGCCCTTTGCAGCAAATTTCCCTGCTTTCTCATCCCTCTGTGATTCTGGAAGAGCTATTCCTGATTTACACCCAAGTCCAGCTCGCCCTGAGCCGGTGCGTGGGGCGCGCTCAGCCCCTGTCCCCTCCCTGCGCCACCGAGCAAATTGCTTGTGATGTGAAAGTGTTTGTTTTGATGGGGGCATCGAAAATAAAATACCCAACTGGGACCACGAGACAGCTGACACTCGGTTCACTGTCTGGTCCTCCGTGCTTTTTGGAGGTACCGAGATGTACTGGGAGAAGGGAGTGAACCGGGAGCGGGACTGGAGGCGCAGTCTGAAGCCCTTGCTTGACTTTTCTGGACCCTGAAGTTTATGGAACTACAATCTAGCTGTTTCAAGAACCTGATTTTCACTGGTCCCATCAGAGACACCAAAGCGAGCAGGAATTTTGGTGCTGTCTTCAGCGACAGCAGTGCTGTGGAGCTGTGGGGTAGCAGGTGCTACAGGACTTACTGAACCCCATCATGGTATGGTCCCAAAGTCATCTGCAGTCATGGAGATGAGAATCCAACCCCAGAACAGGGAAGAAACCTCAACCGTCACTAAAACCTCAACAAATCTACAAGTGGTCCTCTCTGCTCCTCCAGTTTACTTTGGGTTTTGAAAGGTTTATTTATGCTTAGAGTTACGCCACGACAGGGATGGACTGCAAGAATGACTGTTTCCTGAGGGACTGTCTCTCTTCATTTATTGTTGAGATGTTTCCCTCCAGCGCGATGCTCGACATGTGAGGGAAATACCCCCCACCAGCCCTCCACAAGGTCCCAAGCAGTCCCTGCGAAACCCAGGGGACAGGGTCTGGGGTGATGGCGTCCCTGGAAGGTTGGGGAGAACCTGGCTGGAGTCAGGATCAGGTGGAACTCAATCCCTTCCAAACACATCTCCATCCCCCATGGAAAGCAGACACGGCTTGAGGTGGTGGTATGCCCCTTCCTATGCCAGAAAGCATTGAGAAATGGCCAGGGGTGGTGGTGATTCCGGGGATGGAGACAGCAAGGCAAGTGGATATCAAAGCAGCATGCCCGGCACTGGGTTCATATCTGGTGGCCGATTCTACGTGACATTTCCCTTCACCTCTGCTGAAAGGCTTCGGAGATCACCTGGGGGTCTACTGTAGATCTCAGCCCACTCCCCAACATCACCATAAAGGCAGTTTTGACAGACTTTAGCCCGTTTTGCTGCCTCTGTAGAGATATTCTCTCTCGGTGTGGGCAGGAACAGGTGAAAACAGCACCAGGGTGCAAAGGGTTAATACTACTTTCACGCTCCTGAGTGTAAACTGCCTGCAAGCCCTGCACTCTAAGGTCCTCTCCAAATTTAATCCCAAAGAGGAAGGCACTGTTTCGCTGAGATTAAGCAGATTTGCAGATTAAGAAGATTAAATTAAAATTAAATGTGTCGTCTTGAGGAAGGGAGGGAGGGGGGTGGATTAAAAGAAAAAAAAAAAAACAAATAAGGAAGAAAAAGAAAAGTTGCCCTTTACCCATAGGTGTCTTTTAAATTATTGCCCTGTCAAACTGCACGCGTTCCTGTCCGGAGAGGTTTAAAAGTGATTCAGACTCTTTGGGAAGCACAGACATTTTAATTTCATCTGGTGCAGCGAGTCTTGAAACCAACTGCACGCCTGAAATAAACCGCTGGGTTGTTAAAAAAAAAAAAAAGGGAAAAAAATAATAAAAAAAAAACCCACAGGGCTCTGCCTTCTAAATCCTTGATACAGTAAATTACTCATCGAGGAAAGAGCCGCGCGGATCGTGCAAGAACGCGATGGGGGCAAAGAAAAAAAGAGATTGAGGGACTCACCAGAGCGTAGACTGAACTCAACACGGAGCAGCAGAGGATCAAACCCAGACTGTGATAAACCAGATATGATCCCATATCCAAGAGGCTTCTTCCAGCATCCAAACTCGCTCAGGGAAGTAGGAGGACGAGAGGTCTTCCAGCTCTCCTCTTGCAGATGATTTCTCCTTCTCCTTCCCTCCCGCCCCCCCCCACCCC